GAGGCGCGTCCCGCCTCCCCGGCTCCTTCCCGCGGCATCGGCTGGGTTACCCGCGAGCCCCTTCGAGCTGGAAAGGTTCCCTGCAGCAGGGGACACCTCCCCTCACTCCCTGAAACCACACCAGCTCTGGGAGGCGAGGCCCCAAAAGCGTGCACTGCAACAGCCGGGCGAGCAAGAGCAGCAGAGCCACCAAACCGAGGGCTGGGGCTGGTGTGAACTGCCCCGTCCCGCTCCCCTGCTCAACTCCTCTCCCAGCAGGGCTGCACACCACGACAGAAAACACCCCTTTTCAACTTGAAAAATTCAATATATACAAGAGACTTTTTTTTTTATTATTATTAAAATGCCATTGTAATTTGAATTTACAGCAAAATTTTATTACCGAAAAAAGTAGCCCATTGCCGTGTGCTCAACTAAGAAATAACCCCACCACCTACAACATCGCCTGTTTTCCAGAGTACACTACCTTCAGAAAAATGCAAACCCCACTTGATGTGCTACACAGGCATTGCATTGTAGTGCCCACAGGAGAGCATTTATCTGTCAGTTATGAACTTCAGGTCCTTTCAACTCGCTATCATCTAATTTTATCTTATCTAAATAAGAGAAAAACCCCACCAACTACTCAGAAGCAAAACCCATTAGTCGCAGTGGACAAAGACACACTAATCAGGCAAATAAAAGCTTAAATTTATGTACAATGAGAGCATTCTTGGTGGCCCCTCTAGCTATATCTGGATCCCAAGTTAAATTTCCTGTTGGAAGAGCTGCTTTTCCTGCGGTCCCCTGGATTTATCTGGTCACAATCAGACTACCAGAAAAGGGATTATGATCAGACAACTCCTGTATCTTTGCTGGACTCATTTAGCTGATTAGGATGATATTCTGAAGATTACACAAACTGGGGTTTGTTCTCTAAATAAGGACAGAAAGCTAATGAAGAGATTCTCCCATGAGATCCTCCAAACTTTTTAATTATTCTCAACAAAAAGAATCATTCTTGAAATATTTTATAAACAAATGTGCTTTCTTGAAAACAAACCAACCAACCTCAAGTTTTCTATTCCTTAAAAGCAATTTGCAATTGGAGTGCTTTTCTTCCTTTCTCCCCTTTTTTTTTTTTTAAGGGCTTGCCTTAGTTCCTCTTTTACTGGACATACTCCCAGCAAGCTGCCTTCCCTTACTGCAGCGGAGACCACAGCGAAGCACTGGAGCAGACCCAGCGATCCCCGACCCTCGTACGAAGGACGGAGCTCCCGGCCGGCCACCTAGCCACGAGTCACCCCGTCACAGCCGGGACACCAGTGCTCTCTGCCAGCAGGCGCCCGGAGCAAGTCCCCGACTGTCCCCGCTGCTGCCCAAAGCCACCCAAAGCTGCTCATCTCCAGAGCCCGACGGACCGTGCCCCCGGAGAGCACACCTCTGCCTGCCTGCGCGGCCAGCGTGGCACGAACCCGCTTCTGAGAACAAAACCTGCCACTTAGGGAACTGAACCTGATTCATTAACTCTTATTTCACACATGATCGAAACAGCGGCAGCACCGAGCAAAAATAATGCTGAATTGACTGAACTTTCATTTGGACAATGAACCAAAGAAGATTACAGTCATGTAATTAAGAGACTAAAGAGTGGCACAAACAGCAATGAATGCAGTGAAAGAAAAATCCCTGGCGTGGTCCCAGCTCCTGGCTGTTTACCAAAAAAACCCACAAACAACAAAAAAAAAACCCAACAACACCCACAAAGACAACTGTGGGAGGAGTGTGAAAATATACCAACACAAATTTTCAACAATGCTATGCCAAACATTTTAGCCCTGTTTAATATTTTCCAAACTTTTTAATTTAATTATGGCAGAGAAAGAGGAGGTTCACAGGACCAGAGCACCCAGAACAACAGCAGGCTTGTGCTGCCCGCGTCGCGCAGCCCGCTTCTCACCAAGTCTCTTTTTTAAGCTGCAGCACTATGCAAAAAAACAGAGACATCCAAACCAAGAAGTTAAGAGACTTTTATAGATGATTAATGTAGTCATAATAAGTTACAGCCATGTGAATTAATACTGAGAAAACGCTTTTAGTCAGGTTCCAGTGACGATGAGCAGAACTAGTACAGCAGCATTTTAAAGTGTACAATAAAAAAAAAAAACCAAACCATTAAAAAATAGTGCAGTAAAATAAATTATAGCACAAAACATCTCTTCTCCATGAAGTCACCAACGCTGTAGTTATTCTCCAGCAGGACACCCCAGATGTCTGCAAGGCTGCTGCAGACAAAACCCTGCGGCGGCTCTCCCTGCTCCGCAGCCCCCGGCAGAGCAGCAGGGTGACAGGGGGAGGACGGGGGGGGGACGGGGCATCCCCTCGGCCCTGGCGGGTGGGCACCCTGCACGGGGCCCGTCCCGCTCCTCGCCCTGGCCACAGCTCTGTTTGTTACAGCAGGTCACACAAATTCTCTCATAGCCAGAAAAACAGTTAAGATCTTTTTTTAATCATAATTTCTAGAAGTTGCAAGAGGGGAAAAAATCCCAAACCCCACTTGAAAAGGTCAGCTGCTTCTGAAAAGAATATTATTCTAACACTTGGGGAGTGTTTAACACATAAATTAGAGCACCAGCTTTCATCAACGATTCACCGTTGTCTTTTCGGGAAAAAAAACCCAACCCAAACATTCCTTGTAAGAAACGCTGTTTGATACCAGTTACAGTGACATAAGAATAGGTATTTCAAGTCTCCTTTGAAGGACCTACGGTTTGGGAGCATTTATGCACATATATTGAGACATATTGCACACACACACGCAGCTGACATAGCCATCAAAAACCCCAGATTTCATATGGATCAACTTCCCTCGTCAGAACCGTTTCTGGTGTTATTTTTTTAAAAGACACACTCTAACCCAACCCTAAGAAGGACAATGTACCACAGGCTTTCCAAGCCGCAGCTCAGAAATCCAGACACACACATTGCTCTGCAAGTAAGTACGAGGCTATTTCATTTTCCCCGTGACTGTTAGCGCGGATCCACTTCTTACAACCAGACCTACGTACGTTGAACACCTTCAGGAACGCATTTCTCACCACCGTGTGACGGTGCCCAAAACCCCATCTGGTGGCTTCAGCACTGGAAAAACACCCTGGAAGTGGAAGCGGCCAGTCAGCTGCAGAGTCCATCCCTGCTCCTGCGGTGGCAGCCAACAAAGCCACGGCTTGTCCCGGGTGGGAGCTGTGCCAGCGGCCGCTGACAAAGGGGTCCAGAGCTCTCCCCGCGCTGGGGCAATGAACGTCCTCCTGACTACGATATTTTACATGTGACTGACAAGAATCAGATTCTTTCATAGTTTTTAAGTCCCTCCTAATGTCTGGCTAGCATTAGGCAACCCTGAGCACTGCTCTTAACATTATCAGCAACACAGACATCAGAGAAAAAATTGCAGGTGCCCAGCACAACCTTTTTCTTCAGCAGGCTGTATCTGGGGAAGGAGAGGCCGAGTGATGGAATTCTTTTTAATTAACTGATAATCTCGCGATTAAGGAGATTTTTTTTTTTCCCACTTGTCTGACGAAAACAGGGGGAAAGGGTGTCAACTCAGGCGTTTGCTCTATCAAAGTGACAGGAACATCAGGCAGCACAACACACCCCTCCTCTCGCCGCCGGGCCGGAGAGCGGCTCCGCTGCACAGCTCGATGCTGGCTGCGTCCCCCGGCCGCGCTGGGGAGCGGCTGGAGGAAGCGAATCGCTGCCCCGGTGCCAGGAAGACGAGAGGTCTGCAGGAAAACTTTATTTCCAGGGATGACTGATCAGAGGCTGATGGTTAGGGACAAGGAATGAAGAAGGATCTTGGAGGCGTAAGAGACTCTGACGGAGCCTGGAGGACAGAGATGTTAAGGAAAAATCTCTGGGGAAGCCAGGAAACAAAGACAGATTGCCAAGCGACGATAGCGGTTCTCAGTGACTTGTAATTACTTCACTAAAGATTTACAACAGAGAAAAACAGAATCAGAACCTCCACTACCCAGTCGAGTACTGCTCGAAAGGATCCAAAACTCCTAAGTGTTAAGAAAAATTCAAAAGATTTTGTGGGTAATTTCTTCATTTAAGAAGTCCTATTCCCTGATTTTCATCTCTTCTATTCTTGAACGACTGGCCTTAAACCATTCGCTCTTTCACAGCGCAACTGCAAATGCAAACACACTCGTCCAGCATCTGCAGCTTCTCTGCCCGTGCAATTCACGTCCCCAGGTACCAGCACATTGAAATCTTTCCACTGTCCTGAATTCAAACAAATCCGATTAGACCTTAACATACCCCACACTGGAAGCATTTCTGTTTCAACCTCCTGTTGTATCATCGGATTCTGCACTTCCACTGCAGCACAAAGGAAATCTCCTC